GAACAAAAAATGACGTTGGCTTCTTTAGACCCTGTTGGAGGTCCTCGTGTGGCCCTTTTGGGATCTCTTGGAGGCGTCTTTGGCCGCGTTGAAGCCATATTGGGCCGCCTTGGGGCCATCTTGGGTCGGGTTCGAGGCATCTTGAGCCATATCGGTTGCCTTGGTTGCTTGCCTGGGCCGTCATGGAAGCTCGGGGCGCAGACGCACCGCTCTGCACTAGGGACCACGACCTCGTGAGCGCGGATCCATCGCTTTGTCATGTACGAGGGATCGTGGCCTGGCGAAGGAGGGGAGTGCACGCGGCTGGATGCCAGTACAGAAAGGGTCCCTGGTTAGAGTACGGGAACACCGTCAGGCAGCACTTGGCATTCCACCACGCCTCAACTTGCCAGGGGGCACGGTGGCAGACTGACGCTTTGCGTATCTCCACCAGCCCATTTAGGGCCGATTTCCACGCGAGTTGCCTTAGGAGCATTACGGAGGCCTCATGGGGCTATCTTGGGCGTAAGTGGAGGAGGAGGAGGAGGAGGAGGAGGAGGGAGGAGGAGGGCGGACCAAAGCAAAACCGAGACGCTTCGACGATGTTGCGATAAACCCTCCCTCCGAGTTCCCTCTTCATAGGTTCCCACCAGAATCGATGTTCGTTGCGGGCCTTGCCCCGCTCACTGGAAGACCCCCCACTGAGAGTCCTCGATCGTGCCAAAACATCACGCTTGGGACTTCGACGCCGCGAATCAACGTGACCGCTGCGTCCTGACAATCCGAATTCGTGCCAGAACACCGGATCGGGGACTTTAACGCCGCAGATGAATGATATTGCTGTGTCTTGACAATGTTAGACCGAGCCAAAGCACCATGCTTTGGACATCAACCATACGAAGCCTTGAAACTGACAACGTTAAAGACGAATGAGCGCGGTGCTAAGGCGAGAGCGACATGTTGAAGAGGAACCGCCCTCCATCTTTGAAATTGCTACAAACTTTCAGACGGATGTGCACGGTGCTAAAGCGAGAGCCACATGTTGAAAAGGACCTGCCTTCCATCCTTCAAATTGTTGCAAGTGTTTGAGACGAATGTGCGCGGCGCACCGGCGAGAGCCACACTTTGAAAACAACCTGCCCTCCATCTTTGAAACACTTGCAATATTTGAAAGACGAATGAGCGCGGCGCTAGGGCGATGGCGACATTTTGAAAAGGACCCGCGCTCCACCCTTGAAATTGTTGCGAACTTCGGAGACGAATGCGCGCGGCGCTAAGGCGAGAGCCACATGTTGAGAACGACTCGCCTTGCATCCGTGAAAGAGTTCTAAACTTCTAGTCTCAGGATCAAAAAGGGTGAGGAAGTCTTCAGCGAAACGCCCGGTCCGCACTGCCGACACGTCTGGGGGTGCGACAAGGAGAGTCATTTCTCAGGAAATGGGAGCAGGAGAAACAGGAGGATGAGGAGAAGGATGAGGAAAACAAGGAGGAAGAGGAGAAGAGTGACGCATTCGTAGATCTTTTGCTGTTTCAGCCTTTTGGGGGCGTCTTGGAGCCATCTGGTGGCTTTCTTGGTCGCAGTGGGCCTCCCTTATTGGAGCTCCTTCTGGGGCTTCCTTAGAACGCTTTGGAGGGGTCTCCAGGCCCTCTCGGTGCGATCTTGGGCCCCATGGCTCAAGGCTCAAGGGGGGGTCTTAAGTCACTCCACCTCCTCAGACGCCAAAAGTCGCCTCTGGAGCCTCTTGGAGGCGGCCTCTGGGGCCGTCTAGAAGTGATCTTGGTCTTCTCTTGGGCCATCCTGAGGCCTCGGATGCCCATGGGAATCGAAAGGATCAGAATGCAACAATAAGTTGCTTCCCGTTGTTTTTGCAAGGATGTTGGCCTCTTGTGAGCATGTTTGGGAGGCTCCGTGGCCACTCAGAGCTGTCTTGGAGTGGTCTTGGGGCCTCTTTGAGGAATAGTGGTGGCCATCTTGGGCTATCTTGAGCCATCTTGGAGGCCATCTTGGACTTTCTGAGGCCATATTAGAGCCATGTTGGCCCAAAAGCCTCCCAAGGATGCCCCCGAGGCGCCAAAATCACTGAAAACCAAAAGTGGTTTAATGATTCTGGCTTTGAGCGAAGGGGTGGGTCTAAATCAGAGCTGCGATCCCAAGATCGCCTCTTGAAGCCACATTGGAGCCCTCTTGGGCCATCTTGGGGCTGTCTTGGGCCTTCGTAGAGCCATCTTGAATACCCGTCGGAAGCGAAAAGACGAGAAGGCCAAAATGATTTGTCATTTTTTAGGGGTTTGGAAGGATTGGGAGATATTGGGAGCATCCTTGGGAGGCTACGTGGCCACTTCGAGCCGTCTTGGAGCGGTCTTGGGGCATCTTCGGTGCGTCTTGGAGATTATCTGGAAGCATCTCAGGATATCTCGGGCAAGTTTGGAGGTCCTCCTGCGAGTCTGGGGCCATCTTCGAGCCATCTAGCCTCAAACAGACCCTCTGACACCTCGCCGCCCCGAAGACGGAGTGCCCTCATACCGCCCAGAGGGCTGGTGGGACTGCATTCCTCACGCGCACGTGCAGGCACGGAGTGTTGATTCGCGCATCGTTTGTCACGGCCTCGAATGTCAGCGATGCAGCAGTTTCTTCGTTTCCACTTTCGTGCATGTGCCACCACAGTGCCCGCGTGTGTCCTGTTTGTGTTCTTCCTACCCGAAGGCGTCCGACTCAGCGGCGTGGAGATATTGGGCGTGGCGTGCGCAGCCGGGGTGCTCAATCCATCAGAGAAGTCCCAAGGGAAGGAGGACCTTTGCTTTTGCTGGCTCCTGCGCACCAGGCGAATGCACAGCACCAGTTCATGCTTTCATGTCGGCTACGTGCACATAAGAGTGGCCCTTCGTCGGAGCGACCTTAATTCACAAGCACGCAGGCTGGCTCTTTCGCATCGCATGCAAGCCGCGCACCAGACCAGTGCGTGTACCAGGAAGTTGGGTACACACAATGTGGTTGGCCTGAGCGAGAGCTGCATACATGTTGTTGGCCGCATGTCGTTCCAGCGCTTGGCCCTTGTATGGTCCGGTACGCCAGATTCCTGCGTGTGTATCCAGCTTGAGGCCTCCGCGTGTTCCACATGTGAGTCTGGCCATGAATCTTTCCAGTTTCTCGGTAGTTGATGATTGCGTTGTTTGTTTACTTACCCAGAGGTGATATTCCAGGAAAGTCCGCTTCTGTCGCGAAATCTCGGCCAGATCGCCAGAAAGTAAGACATGTTCTTGTAAATACATGATCGGATGCATTCATCTGTCCCTTGCTTGCTTTCTCTCTCTCTCTCTCTCTTTCTCTCTCTCTCTCGTTCTTCGTTTGTTTGTTCCCGTATATATATATATATATATATACACATACGTTTGTATTTATATATAATTAGATATGTATGCATATAAGTATGCATATGTGTGTATATGTGTGTGTCTCTCTATCTCTCTTTGTGTCCCTCTATCTCTATGTCTATACATCTCTCGTTCTCTCTCTCTCTCTCTCTCCTCTCTCCCTCTCTCTCTCTAGATCTCCCTCTCTCACTCTATCTGTATGTATATTATATGTATAGAGAGAGGCGTGTATGTACACACATGTACCTCCTCCTAAGTGAAAATAGCGGGGGTGGCCCCCACCTGTGGGCGCACCATGGCCACAGTGCTTCTCGGACGCCGAGGGCAGCCAACCAAGCTGCCAAGCCCAGAGCTTCCGTACCTCATCGATTGCCTTGCCCAGGGTGTCAACATGGATAGTGGCGGTCAGCAAGCAGCCCGCGATGCGCATGGCATGGGGGCCAAGAAACGCGTCAAGACGGTCTTAAGAGAGAGAGTCTTGAGACAGCGCAGGACGGCCCGAAGACGGCTTTGCGGGCAAAACAAATGCCCTGCAGGACTCCCAAGAGGGCCCCCAGGAATCCCAAAGCATAGATTTCTCCTTTCGTGTTTGAAATACGTTGGGGCTCTCGCCTTTCTGGGCCACGAACGGCCATAGGCGGCATCGAAACCTTTCGAGGCCGCCCCAAGACTCCCCAGAAGGCTCCCAACAAACCGCAAGACGGCACAGGAGAGTCCAACGACACCTCAAGAGCGCCCCATGACGCCCGAAGAAAGGCCCAACAGGTCTCCAAGAAAGTTCCAGCAGAAGGCGAGCAGGAACCCAAGAGAGCCCAAGATCGCCCGGCGAGGGCCCCCAGACGGTCCAAAGCCTCCAGCATGTCACCAAGACACCTCACGAGAACCCCAAGACAGCTCAACAGGCCCCAAAATGGCCCATGACGTCGACAACATGTCTAGACGCCTCGCGTAACCCACCAGCCCGGTAGGTCCGCTTCTGTTACCTCGGTTGACGCTCGCAACTTCGTTCCCCGTCCCCGTGACCGGTAAGTTGCCTGCGTTGTACGCCGACTACGACGACGACGTGCTTTCCACGTCGGGCGTCGCCTCCGAGTTCTAGCTACTGCACAAGTGGTTTATCCTTTGGCAGTTCACCACGGCCCTCCCGCAGGGTGGTCCAGGGGACTCGACCGTGCTTGCAGCTGCTCCCCCCCGACTTTCAGTGTCAGGGATGCTGCAGGCCGTGGACTCAACAAGGCCGCTGGGTCGAATGCGCTGGTCGCTCGCGCCCAGTGCATCCTATGAGTCCTTGTGAGTGAGGCCTCCACCCGTTCCCCCCTTCTCCTGCTCCTGCTTCTCTTGTTCGTGGCCTCCTCTTCGTGTTGGACGGCGCGGCCACCCCGGCCCCTCTGTGCCGCCACTGCGCGGCGTGGTCCACGCCCGTGCGCGCCGGTCGGCACGGACGGAGCTGACGCCAATTGTGCGTCCGCTCCCTCCGTCCGCTTTCTAGTTCGATGCCTGCGTTTTCCCTCGGGTCGCCTGCGTCGTAATGAGGGTCATTTTGTCCCTGGCATGTGCACCCGCTGCCGAGGCCCATGGGCCCCAGCAGCTAATTTTCTCGCCATGCGCCCCTGTCGAGACCATCCCGCTCGCTGGAGTTGTCCATGCGAGCCGCCGAACAAAAAAGTAACCCACCAGCCCCCGCTGTTTTTGTTGTCCTTCCGCTGTTTTTTCCCCTTCCGCTGTTGTTTCCCCCTTCGCTACGGCGCGGCCCGCCCTAGCTTGCTCGGCGTTCGACTTGCTTCGCGCGCCCGCGTACCAAAAAGTAACCTCACCAGCCCATCCAGAAACGAAGCCCAGACGAGTTGCCCTGATCAGGAATGTGGATCAGATGTCGTACCCCAAGAGGGGGAGTATGGAGGAGGAGGAGAGGAGGAGGAGGAGGAGGAGGAGGAGGAGAAGGAGGAGGAGGAGGAGGAGGAGATGGAGGAGGAGGAGGAGGAGGTGGAGAAGGGAGAGGGGGAGGGGGAGGAGGGAGGAGGAAGGAGGAGGAATAGGCGGATGAGCAGGAGGAGGAGGAGGAGGAGGAGGACGAGCAGAAAAGCCAGAGGCTTCTTGGATTCCTTTCGGCGTCTCTTCGGATGTTTTTCGAGAGCTTCAAGGGGTCCTCTTGGGGCGTCTTGACGGTCTCTTTGCAGTCCCGGTGGCGTCTTGGGTGCTTCTGGGAGATCTTGGAACACCCTTGGAAGCTTGGGGGGCCATCTTAGAGCCATCTTGGAGGAGGTCGATGGCAGGAGGGGCCATTGTAAATTAGCGCCCCCCCCAGGAGGCCAAAATGTGGTCAGAAGCTGTATAAATCAATGATGTTGGCCTTCTCGCCGAGGCCATCTTGGAAGCAACAACTAACCGCGAAACGCCCCGTCGTGGAGAGGGGGTATGGAGGGGTACCCCCCTCCCCGAAGGGGACGAAGGGGGTTGGAAGAGGAAACTCGCCAAACCACTCACGCCCCAAAGGGCTGGTGAGATTAAGAACGACCGACGACGACGAGGACCGCCCGACCAACCGACTGATCGACCGACCGACCGACTCTCCGCTTAGACGGCCGACCGACAACAGCGATCGACCGATCGACGGATCGACCCACGACGACGACGGATACCGGCCACCTGAGCGACCGACGTCGACGACAATTAAGAACGACCGACGATGAGGACCGCCCGACCAACCGATCGATCGACCGACCAGCTCGCCGAGTCGCCAGCCGACCGACGACAACAATCGACCGATCGACCGCCCTGCCAACCCACGAAGACAACGACCAACGACGACGACCACGACCGACCGATCGATCGGCCGACTCACGACGACCAACGCCGACCGACCGCCTGGGCGACCGACAACGACGACGACGACCGACGACCAACGACGACGACGACGACGACGACCGACTGACTGACCGGCCGACCGTCCGACGAACGGACCGACCGCGACCGACCGACCGACCGCGACCGGCCGAGGAAGCATTCTAGAAGACGCTGGCCTGGAAAGAGTCTCCTGCGGGTGGGCGGCTCCTGCGGGCGGGCGGGCGGGCGGCTCCTCCCAGTCCTCCTCCTCCTCCTCCTCCTCCTCCTCCTCCCCTCCTCCCTCCTCCTCCTCCTCCTCCTCCTCCTCCTCCTCCTCCTCCTCTCCTCCTCCTCCTCCACCTTCTCCTCCTCCTCCCCTTCCTCCTCCTCCTCGCCCTATTCGAATTCATGATAATAGAGCCTGGACCTGGGCGGCGCTTTTCGCACTCCGGGCCTGGCGGGGCCAGGGAACGGGGACGGCGGATTATTGTAGTGGCCTTCGGCCAGTGCCGCCGATCCGGGGCGCTCCGACTGATGTGATCCTTCTTCGCCCTCGTCCCTCCTCTCTTTTTCCCTCCCCTCCTCTCACTCAGCATTTATCCAGTGGCCGTCGGCCTATCCCGCCACCGTGCGTGGGTGGTGGGTCAGAGGCCTCATGGATGCTGGTTGGGATCTCGTGGTTGGCTGGGACTTCTGGGGGCCTCTTGGGCGCCTCTTGGGGCTTCTTGGGGGCCTCTTGGGCCTCTTGGGGCCACTAGAGGGCCTCTTGGGGGTCTCTTGGGAGCCTCTTGGGGCTTCTTGGGGGCCTCTTCTGCGCCCCTTGGGGCCTCTTGGAGGCCTCCTCGGAGCCTCTTGGTGCGGGAGGGGTGGTACTCGAGTTCGGAACCCCCTCGGAGGCCACGATCCTTGTGAGGGGTGTCAAAAAACGCATCCGCCGGAAACTCGCACCCCCCCCCCCACCCCCCCTTCCCCGGCAGAGCCACCCCGGCAACCCCCCCAGAGGCTGAGGCTCAGCCTCGAGGCTGTAGCTGAGACTCCTTGAAACTCACACGCCGGATCGGCGGATTTTTGTTTAGGTGGGGACTGTATGCGGATTGCCTCGCGGATTGTTCATCTGGAGCCATTTTGGTTTGCTGATCTGTGCTCCTTACGGATGAAACACAGCACTTCACAACAAAGCACACAGAACAAGTCGAAAGATGAATTCTCCCCCGTCTGAATCTGGGGAAGGTTTCTGCTTGCGGTTGTTCGTGCCTGCGCAGCCATGGGTCTTCATTTCACCCTTAAATTGTCGACCGGCCGACGATGTCGACCACAGCCAAGAAAGACCGACGACGACGAGGACCGCCCGACCGACCGACCGACCGACTCGCTGACCGCCCAGCCGACCGACGGTAACGACCGGCCGATCGACCGCCCGACCCACGACGACGACGACGGCGACCGATCGCCTGGCCGACCGACGACGACCGACCGACCGACCGATCAGCAGGCCTTAACAGCGTCTGACAGCGCGCTGAGCTTGTGGGGAGGTTCTAGTGTTGGGGGCACTCCTCTTTCTTCTAGAAGCTCGGAAACATATCCCCTAGGTCTACCATAGGCCTTCTTAGGCCTACCATGAGTCTGGCCCCAGCCTTCGTAGGCCTACCGTAAGTCTACCCTTGCCCTTCCTACGCCTCCCCTAGGACTACTTCAGGCCAGCTGTAGGCCTACTCCCGTCTATCTCGGCTTTTTCTGGGTCTACTGTGGCCTCCCTAGGCCGTCCCTAAGTCTACCGTAGGCCGACCCTAAGTCTACCTTAGGCCTAGCTAGCCTTACTCGAAAGCATTTGAAGACAGCGACCAAGGGTTCCTGGGGGGGGGGGGGAGGAAGCGTCTTACAGTGCTCTGGGCTTCTAGGAGGGTCCGTGGAATGGCAGGGGCACGTTTCCCCTGTCACTCGGAGGGCCCACTGTGAATTGTATGTGTTTGAGCCAGCCTCGGCCATTCTGCGCAGGAGTCGATCGCCCTGCGGCGACCCAAGAAGAAATGTTTCGGCAGTTAGCGGCCAGGCCCCAGGGCCTCCGGCGTCCGCCCCCAAGCCTTTGGGTCGGCCCCAGAGTATGAAAAGTGGTGCCTGGGCTTCCAGGCAGCATGCGGGAGCATCTGGGCCTCCATAAGCCTAGGCGCTTACGGCAGGAGTTTCGCACATTTGGGGGGAAATGCCCAAAACTTTCAGATAAACCATGGATCGGCACAGGTGTTCACGTCAGCGGGCCAAGATTTCTCGCCGCGCGGAACGCGCTTCTCAAATCGAGCGTCTAGTCAGATTACACATACGTACGCACATCCACCGGCTTGTTTGTGTGCAAATGTACATGCTTGCGCATACACATACATGTATACTGGGCATCAAGCCGACATATATATAGATATGTGTGGTTTATATATATAGCGTATATACCTATAACACGGTGTACGCGCTCCTGGGTCTAAAACCAGGCGTTTGGAACCTCCATGGGTGGACCAGGGCCCCAAGATGAGCCCACAAGGCCCCAGATGGCCTCCACACCGCTTCAGACAGCTCAAGACGGCCCCAGGACCCCAAGAGGCGTCAAAGAGACCTCCAAAAGGTTCCCAGGAGTCGAAAATCGTTTTGGAAACCCCGAGGGAAATCACAGATGTTTCAAGATTTCGCAGTTTCGCTTCCGTGGGGCCTCTGAGGCCTCAGGATGATCCAAGAATGACCCTCCAGGAACCGCAGAGAGGCCCAATACGGTCGACTGGGGCCCCCAAGACCCTTCACGATGGCTCCGAGACCGCTGAAGATGGCTTCGAGACGCCCCTCGAGTCCGCCAAGACGACCCCAGATGGCCTCCAGACGGCCCCGGACAAGACAGCTCCAGACGGCGGCCCCAACATGCCCCCAAGAGGCCTCCAGGAGTCCAAAATCTTTCACTCCCGACGGCCCTCCCGAGTCTCCCACACGTCCAAGATGCCCCCCGACGCGCGCAGTCGGCCTGATGTTCTGAAGGGCTTGTCCTGGAACACCTCACCGACTGCACGACGACGACGATTGTGGTGATAGTGTTAACCATGTTCTGGCTAATGGTTTCGGTGATGATGGTGATGATGATGATGATGATGATGACGATGACGATGACGATGACGATGATGATGATGATGATGATGACGATAATCATGATGATGATGGTGGTGATGATGATGGTGATGGTGATGATGAAGATTATGATGATGGTGATGATGATGATGATGCTGATGATGCTAGTGGTGATGATGCAAATGCTGATGCTGGCGCTGATGCTGATGATAATGATGATGATGATGATGGTGATGGTGATGGTGATGGTGATGGTGATGATGGTGATGGTGAAGGTGATGTTGATGATGATGCTGGTGATGATGCTCATGCTGATGATGATGCTGATGATGATGATGGTGATGATGATGATGATGAAGTAGTATAGTTATGATGGTGATGATGATGATGATGATTAGGCTAGTGCTGATGATGATGGTGATGATGATGAAAATGGTGTTGATGCTGATGACGATGGTGATGATGATGAGGACGATGATGATGATGATGAGTGAGGATGATGAGGATGATGATGGTGATGGTGATGGTGGTGGTGATGGCGATGGTGATGATGATGGTGATGGTGGTGGTGATGCTGATGTTGATTCTGATGCTGGTGCTGATGATGATGGCGAGGCTGATGGTGAGTGAACTTGAGTATGAGAGTGAACCGTCTGAGCATGAGTGAGACTGAGTGCGAGTGAGTCTGAGCATGAGTGATCCTGAGTGAGGACGTGGAGGATGTGAATGAGTCTGTTTGTGAGAAAGTCTCAGTATTTGTGAGTCTGAGTGAGGAAGAAGAGGATGTGAATGACTCTGAAGGTGAGTGAGTCTGAGTATGAGTGGGTCTGAGTATGGCTGAGTCTGAGTGCGAGTGAGTATGAATATGAGTGAGTCTGAGTGAGGAAGAGGATGAGTGGAGGGAGAGGGAGGTATGACTGAGTCGCAGGCGTCTGGTCCAGGTAATAACAAGAGCCCATCTTAGGATATGGCTAACACAAGCAAACAAAAAGGTTGTTGATCCCGTTCCTCCTCACACTCCCTGCATAACCTTCCTCTGTCCTTTTCCTTCCCCTCCCCTTCCTTCCGTCCTCGTCCCTCCCTCCGTCTTCCGGGAGGGTGCGCGGATCGCGGGGGATCGAGAAGCGAGCGCAGGAGGAGTTCGACGACCTCACCGTCAAGCTGCTCTCGCCAGAGGAGCTGCAGAGAGAGTACCTCAAGCGCCTGACGAAGGCCGAGGAGGAGCAGAGGCTGCGCACGGTGCACATCGCTGGCCTGGAGAGGAACCGGCGGCCTTCTAGCAGGGAGAGGCGAGATCGTGCCGTTACACAATCAGGACGGGAGGTGTTTCGCTATTTTCGGAGCCTTGGGGCCTCCGCCTGGCCCGGGACCGTCCAAAAGCGACGCAGGATGAAGAGCCGGTCTTAGGGAAAAGGTCGGGATTTCCGGGGACGCCGAATTGAAAAAATCAGGACGTCGCATGTCTGGGGGCGGATAGGGGCTCCGCGTTATGCCGCCATGAAAGAGCACAGGAGTGGGTGTCTTGGGCCAGTTGGCCCAAGAGCTTAGAATCGTACTAGTCATTGTGGGTGAGTGCTCCTTGTTCGTGCGCAGCTTGCGCCCCGCGAGCACATAGATATGTTCTTAGAGCTGTTTTGGAATTTCATCCGAACGCGTGAGGCATCTTAAAAAACGCAGGATCTGATGAAGCTGTGCCCACGGTGTCTCTGTGACCCACAGCCGCTTCTGTCTCAAGCAAGCCACCCGAGCCTGGAGGGACGTCAGCTCCGCGCTGCACCCTCGCCGCCTCGCGCCCCGACTTCCACGAGTTCCCCCACGCGCGATCGCGCTGCAGACGATGTCCGGGTACGCCGCCGCCCGGCTGTTCGCCGAGCCGCAGAGCGACGCCGCCGAGGAGCCGCTCGGAGCTGCACCCTCGCCGCCGCGGCCCTGGCGCGCCGCGGCGGCCCTCTGCGCAGCCGCGCTGCTCGTGGGGGCTGTCTGCTCCGTGGCGGCTGGCGCTGGGGAGGGGACCAGCGCGCTGAGACCAGCTGCGCCGCGCGGGCAGAGCGCCAGAGTGCTCGACTTTGTGAGCAAGGTGGCGGCGGCGGGTGCGGAGAATGAGACGACGAAAAATGAGACGACCGAGGAAGCTGAGACGGTCGAACCGCCGTGCTACGTCCAGCCGGCCGGCAGCGGGTTCTCCGTCGAGGACGCCACGAAGTGCTCCGAGAATCTCAGAGAGATGATGGAGAACGCGAACGGGACGGCGGCGACGGGAATCGGCAGCTACAACGGCACGGACCACGAGATCACCGTCCGCTTCAACGTGAAATCGACGACCGACATCGACACCGCAGCGGTGAGCTCGCAGCTCCAGGCCCTACAGAACGCCGCCAGGGTGGTCTTGGGCGCCGCAATCCCCCTCGCGCTCCCTCACGAGAACACTCGCTCGTGCATGTACACCCTCGTAGAAAAAGACGAGCTCCACGTGAACTGCGAGTTCACGGTCTGCAGCGCAGACGACTCCAAGGCGGTGTGGGAGGCGTGCATGTCCGCCTCAAACTCGGAGGGGAGCATCGCCGGCGAGCTGGGCTTCCTCGAGGGCCCCACGGTCACGGACGTCCTGTGCGCGAAGAACGCGCTCGTTTGGTGAGCCGCGGCGACGTGAGCAATGTGGGAGGGCCAGGCTGGGACGTTGGCGCGCGCATGGGTCCGCAAGGGGGGGGCTGGGGGAGAGGAGGGTTGCCAGAGCTTCAGGAGGGAGAAGAACACACAGACACAAGCAATCGTCGATGCCCACGAAAAGACGCAAGAGTATGGGAAGTGGGGGGGCGACGAAGATCCCAAAAATAACAACAACAACAACAACAACAACAACAACAACAACAACAACAACAACAACAACAACAACAACAACAACAACAACAACAACAACAAAAATTGGGAAGCCTGAGATCCGTGTTCAGTTCTCTGAGTGCCCCGGGACCCCCTCAGAGCTGCTCCGTGCAGCCGGCCGCAGCCCTGGCGCCCAGCACGCGCCTCGAGGCGCGCGCGCGCGCTTTTTGTTCGCCTCCTCCCAAGCGCCCGAGGAGACTGGCCTGCAAGCAGCCGACCGGGCCCCGCTTTCGGTACCCCTCCTTCTTCTCAGGCGATCGCAAACATGGATTACAGTCAAGACGCTGAAATAAGGAACAGTTTGGGTTCGGAAGGGGCTCGATGTTCCTTAAGGTTCCTCCAGTGCTGTT